GACGTTTGCTGCTGGCTGTCAGAAGGAACACACTAAATCGCTAATTATCGATCTTTGCTTTATTGGGCAGTGGTTGAACTGCTTTGCCGTGCAGAGCATTGCTTCCTCGTACTCTGACTGTCTTCAGGAAAGCTGATCTCGGTGAGTTCTGCCCTCTGGATGATGGTGACTTGCGTTTGGGCATAGAAGAGGAAATAACTAGCTCCAGATAAAAACCTGTGACAGCCCCAGATTTAAGTCACCTGTTTTTAAGGGCACACAAATGTGACCTGTGCTGGTGTGCCTGTTTTTAGGAGGACAAAAACCTGCTGGTGTGCTGTGGAGTCCTCACCAATGCGCGTTCCTCATCACCTCTGCACGCAAATCCTGCCCGCACCCGTGATGTGCTGTGTTTTCCCAGACGCAGCAGGGTGCAGTGAACGCCGTGCTTTGTTTGTTTGCTTTGCATGGGCCTGGTTTTGAGAACAAGCCTGGAGTTACTGCGAGACAAGATAAGAGCGGTTCGGGGAAGCGGAGATGTTCCGGTCTCGCTGCGGGGCTTGGCCGCCGAGCTGCGCTTCCCGTGACTCAGAGCGGCAGCGGGGCACCGGCTTCCTGTGAAGCCACTCGCTTGCAGAAAAGTTGCTGTGATGTTTGTTAAGGAAATCAGGTTTTTAATGAGTTATCCTCCAGCGCAGTCACGTGTGATGTCTAAAATACGTCTCACCGTGCTCCCGTCGTCTCTAGCACCGACGTGGGCATCTTCCAGCGAGGCTCGCGTGGCTGTTCCCTGCCTCCCGCTTTCATTTGTCTCACGTGCTAAGCAGAGGGGTCAGCAGCTGGTATCAAACCCTTTTTGTTGTGCAGGGGTCAGCTGGCGGGGGAGACGCATCGCCCTGCGTGGCGGTAATGGGAGCAGTGAAGCTGGTGTGCTCGGGGGACGTGCTTCGGCAGCAAACTTCTCATTTCCAGCAAGAATATTGGAAAGGATGTGGTGAAGAAGCAGCAGCAGCATAGGAAAGGATTGCCACCCTCACTTGCTTTTTGCTTTGCAGGTTTCCGTGCAGCAGAGGTGATGCTCCCGGGGGGCTGGGAGCCACGGGGGGGTCCCAGCTGAAATCGTTGGCAGCAGCCGGGGCCGGAGAGGTGTGCGGGGTCGGCTCCAGCTGCTCTCTTTTCAAGGGGGAATAGCTGGAATTTGGTTCGAGGTTCCAAGATCAGGTTTCCATTACACAACCGTGCTGCTTTCAGCTGCTCGGTGACACGCGGGCCTTGCTGGCTGCTCCTGGTCTGGCTGGGTGCTGGCCCCGGGAATAACGCCTTGGGGGGAGATGTACAGAGAGGAACGGGGCTTCTCTGCTGCAGCACTGCCTGGGCTGGGAGCGGGGGCTTGGAAGGGGTTTGCTTCACTCTTTGTAAGCTGCGGGAAGCACCTCAGAAGCCTTTGCCACAAACAGCTGCTTGGAAACTTCTTTATTTATTCTTTTAAAGACTGCTTTTGCCAGGAGAAGGTAGGACCAGAGGTGAGAGGACCAAAGGAGGGAGGGATTCTGTGATTGACCGCAGACCTGGCGGTGAGGCTCAGGCCTCCTGCATCGCCCAAGGCAGCTGGGTGCCTGGGTGGGACAGCTCTGCTGGCAGGGGGAGGCTGGAGCCCTGCTGCAGGGTGTGGGGGCGACAGCTCCCCCCTGCTGGGTCACTTTGCAAATGATGAAATGCCCCTGGTGTCCCCAGCAACCCGTGCCCCCTGAGTCCCGTCCTCAGGATGCTCTGAGCGTGGTCTTCTGCCAAAGGTGCTCAGCTACGCTCCGTGCTGGAGGTGCTAAAAGCCAAATCAAATTCAGTAGGAAAAGGTGGTGGTGGGTGCTGGATGGGGCTGCAACCCCTCCCAGCACCGCGTGCGAGCCCCCAGCGCTGGCATCCACCCCCGCAGCCACTTGTCAGTGCTGTCAGCAGAGCGGGGTGAGCAGCCCCTTCAGGCATCACTAATTGCTTTAATGAACTTACTGAGGTGGGCTTAGCTCCTAAAGCATTCTGTTATTACTGTAAACTTAAAGTCAACTTACGGGATTGTGGAATTGGTGGGAGGTGATGCCAAGCTTGTGCCTGTCTTTTCTTCTCTTTTAATTTTGAGCTTTTTTTCTATTATTTTGTAGGGAACCACCTGTTCTTTCCTCAGTGGTGGTGCAGAACCAGCCACGGCGTGGCAGGGGAGCATGGGGAAGCTCTCATCTCTGCCCTGTTTGCTGGTACCTGGGTGTGAGGGATGCGGGCAGCACAGGGCAACCTGCCATGCAGGCACCGAGGATGGATGTCACCTTTCCTGTGCTGTGACAGCCGAGAGACACCCGGCTGTGGCCCACGATGGCGGGGTTCCTGTAGCATGAAATGCGTAACGAAAAACTCCCCGACGTGGGGAATCTGCTGGGGAAGGAATCCTTTGCTAAGCAAACGGGACAGAATAAAATGGGTCATTAAAAAAGCTGTTTTAATACAGAAGTTAGCGGAGTTCTGCCACCACCGTGGAGAGGAAATGGTCCTGCCACTGCTAATGGTGTAGCCTAATGGGAGATTTTAATGACTCAATTATTTTGAAAATTGTTCTTCTCGGGAAATGCAATATACTTCGGCAAACTGAGGCTTTTCTCCACTGTTGCAGAAAGGCAAATGGTAATTCCTCTGAGCTCGCTCTTTGCTGAAGAGGGAGTGGGAGGCATGGACTTGCAGAGCAAATGCCAGGTTGGACAAAGTATTTCATCCCAGGTCAGGAAACCTCTCAGAGAGGTGAAGGGAGGGAAGCAGGACGCATCGTGCTCTCTCTGCTCCCTGCTGTTAGGTGCAGTTCCTTGCTCCCAGCATCGAGGATTTACATCCTCGGTGTTTGTGACACTGCTCTGAGAAACGGGATGCTTTAAACACAGGTTAATCACCTGCCTAAGGACTGTAGGAATTATGGTTACTTATTTCTTTATTATTTGGTTGTTTAAACTGTAACTTTTGTTAGCAAGCTCATGAGGTGAAAAACAAAGTAAAAAACCCAGCAAAACCATTGCTGAGACTGACGCACTCCCCTCGGCAGCTGGGAGAGATGTGTGCCCTGAATCTGAGCCACGAGTGACCCGGTGTGAAGCACCAAGCCAAAGCAAGTTGTGGAGGAGAATTTCAGCTGTCTCCTTTCCACTTTATGTTAAACATTCACTAGAGAGCCCAGAGAACCCTAGACTGACCCTAAACCTGTTTGAGCTCTCCTCTAACTGTTGAGAGTCCTGGTCGGAGCTGTGCCCATACACTCGGGCCCCAGACTTCCCTTCCCTTCCCTTTCTGTGAAGAGGAGCTGGCTCCCTCCCCAGCTCTGCTCTGAATGCTTTTGCTGAATTCAACTCAATTTTTGCAGGTGAAAGCCTTCAGCTGGCTGAGGGCGAAGGCAACCAGCTGGGCTATTATTTTTTTTACCCCTAAAATAGTCCAAGTGGCACATCAGGCTCTGAGGTTGCTTCCTTGTGGGCTCTCCTCCTGCCTGTAGTGCGTCATCAGGGCTGGGAGCACTCAGCTTCTACTGGGTGCCTTTGTGGGGAGCAGAAATCACATAAAACTTGGGACAGGAGGAGAGAGGCTCAGCTCTGTGTGATGGGGCAGGTAGCACGAGTGTTGGAACGAGTTGGTCTGGATGCAGAGCACTTTCTGGTCGCTTAGGGACCACTTAGAGTCACTTGCTTTGACCTAACCTAAAGGTCTTTTGTCTTTGTGCAGTCTCTGAGGAGTCGTGATGGGGGATTTCAGAGCTTCTGCTGTGAAATTAGGGAATGAAGTGTTTGTCGTGTTCTTCATAATGGGGCCTTTTTTATTTTCTTTAACTTGGATGCTTGAGATAATGGGGCTTAAAGGAGGATCTGTGGGAGTAGCAACCTGAAGCAGGTTTATGCTGTGGTCTTTACTGAGCAGAGCATCCTCAGTGGGATCAGGTTCAGCTCCACGAGGCAAAAAATCAGTTTCCACGCAGCGCTCTGTGCCTTCATTGACATTTTCCATCTCCGACTGCTCTGACAACGGTTTGGTGGTTGCCAAAAGCTGCGAGAGAAGTCCCCGTGGCTCTCACCCCCTGGCTGCTGTTCCCCAGCAGCGTGGTGGTGTTGCAGGCAATCAGTTCGTGATGGGTTTGCTCGTGTTGAAACCAAACCTGCGGCATGAGGAGTGCGGATGCCTCCTGGAAACACCTTTACTTGGTTCACAATGGTCCAAATACCTCCTGTGCCTCCAGGCCAGGTCCCTTCGAGGGGCTGTTTGCTGCTGGCTCCGTGACTTTGTGCAGTTGCTTGGTGGCCGTGACAGCTGCCTGTGCTGGCATCAGGCTGCCGCAGGCACCGCGAGCAGCAGCTGCCCGGGGATGATGCTCGAGCTGGGGCAGTCCCTGAGATCGGAGGTGTTTGGCCTGGAGAGCAAATGAAACGTGCTTCTTCCTTGATACCAAAACCAAGGCTCTCAGCTGTGCGATTTGTCTTTGTGTGATAGGCAGCCAAGTGCGGACTGAAAACCTGCAAGCTTCTCAGGCTTGTGCGAGGGGAGACTTAAAAAGAACACCGTAAAACAGAAGCTGGGCTGGCTGGGTTGCTGGTGGAGCTCAGGGACGTTTGTAGAAGGTAGGCCTGGTGACCTGACGTGCTTCACTCTCCGCCTCTTGGAGAGGAGAGGAGAGGAGAGGAGAGCTGGGACTCCCGGCACCGTCACAGCCGTGCCAGCGACCGTCGCTGTGACCTTGGTGAAGAAACCCGAGCCTCCAGAGCCTTTGGTCTAACTCAGGCTGAGATGTCACATCTGTGAAATGAGGCGAATGCCGGCTGTAAAATCCCAGGAGAGAGCCTGGAGCTGCTTTGCTAACGGCAGCAGGGCTTGCAGAGATCTCTGCCTGCAAGGCTGTGCTGAAATTCAGATCTCGGCATCGCTTACAACTTGCTGCCGAATAACTGCAGGCTGCTGAAGCGGGAGGGCTGCGGAGGACCAGCCGGTGTTTCCCTGGTACAGTGCAGGGTGCTGCTAAACTTGTGTGAAAGTTTTATTTCTGTAGCGTTTGCTTTTTAAAAGGAAACCACAATCTTTTTTTATTAACAAAGCAAAAAGAGGCGTGGGGGGGGACGGGGACTTTCTCCTTGACAGACATTTCCCTTCCGGCACCGCATCGCAGTGCGGAGTTTCCAGTAAGAAGCCGTGCTGTCGGGCAGGGGGGGATGATTTAGCAGATTAAGCTTTAACTCCTGCCGTGCCCCCAGGGCCTCCTGTGCAGGGCAGTGGTGTGGTCGGGGTGAGCTGGGGGCTGCCACTGGCTCCTGCGGGTGCTGTTTCACACCAGGAGGGGTTTTATAGGGCTCTGTCACAGAGCGTGTCCTGGCACACCGTGCTCTCGAGTGTTTAGGTAGGAAGGAGCCTGCTTCAAGCCTGCTTCATGAGTGCAGCGATCAGACCTCCCTGCGAGATTTGGTCTTTCATCTCTTGAAGATCTTCATCCTGTGTGTACTCATCCTGTACTACGTGGAGACAAATTCACAGGAAATAAAAAAACCTCAGCGTGCTGATCAAGGTCACAGGGGGTGCAGCAGAGGGTGGAGAAGGGACGGAAAGACCCAAAGCAGCAGGAGCTCCTCCAAGGAGAGCAGCAAGGTGGGAGCTGCCCATCAGAGCTGGGGCTGGGCAGCAGGAGCCAGGCTGCAGCCCGCAGGCTCTGCCTGAAGGGGATCGTTTGGTGTTAATGCAGGGCAGCTTGAAAAGCAAGTAGACATTTGCCCACCCCTCTAGCAAAACCTCTTTCCCGTTACTCTAAATAGAAAGTTTCCTGTTTTATAATTGAGGCTCTTAAAAGCCTTCGTGGTGTTCAGGTCAACGTACAGCTGCCGAGCTGAGCCCATAAATGCCTGAAATACGAGCTGGGGCAGAGGCTGTTGACTCTGGAACCAAGTAACACTTTAAAATGGCAATACGAACTATTTCCTGCTATACAGAGCGTATTCGAGTATCCTGTTGCAAATACTGCCAGGCTGCACGGAGCAATTCTGCTCCCCAGGCACCGCTCACCTGCTGCATCACCGCAGTGGGGTAACGGGGGGAGCTCTGCGATACTCGGGTAGCTGGAGAAATTTACCTCCTGACACCGCTGCTCCCTTTTATTACAGCTGAAGAAGTGTTTAGATTTCTATTAAAGCCAAATAATTTTTTCTCCCTGCCTTTTCTTTCCGGTGCTCTGAAAGGTTTATTTTCTAATAGGCTTAGGATCGACTTCACAGACGGTGACTGCTGCAGCGGCACGTGTCAGTGGGTAGGTTTTGGGCCTGCAGATCAGAAGCGGTCTTTGAACAGGTATTTAAGTGGGATCTTCTGTGCTACTTGGATAAAAGGCTTTGATGTTGAGATGTCTGAATGGGTTTGAAGGTGTTCTCACGACTTCCAGGGAGAACTTTTTGTGGGAAGAAAGCTGGAAGAGGCCAGTAGGAGAAGAGGAGGTCCTGGTCAGCAGTTATTGATCCTGGAGGTGCCCTTCATCTGGCTCTGCCTGAGACACCAAGGAGCGAGGCGTGCTGCTTACCTGCTTGCATGCACCCAACCCCACGTGTGAGGAGCCAGCTGAGGGGCTGGGGGGTGCAGGTTCCTATCGAGCCGCTCTGGAGGACGTGGCTGTCCTCCAGCCCTCGTTTCTCTTGGACCTCCCTGCTGAGGCTGCTGCCTCACAGGGCTCTGAAGACAGCGGGCAAGTCTCTCTGCATGTTGTGCAGGGACTTCTGCCCAGCACCACGGCACCCCAAAAGCTGGCGTTGCTCTGCTCGTGGCTACAGCTCCTGGGTCACCCTGGGGACCTTGGCCCTGATCTCCTTGATCACAGCTCCGTAAATCTGACAGAAATATTTTTTGGCCCTCTTCAAATAGGCACAATTCACAAATACCTACTCCAAAGTGCCTCTTAAAGAGAGAAGAGGCTCTTTGGCAGCCCAGGTGTCACTGTCACAAAGATATTGGGGAATTTGCTTCCCTGGCTCCCTGCCCACAGCGATCCTGCTGAAGGCAGCTGAGCCCGCAGGTTACATAAAACACTCAGCCCTTTGAGACCATCATCTGTTTAAAGACCATACCAAAATGATTTATTTATTCTTCCAATAGCAGGTGAGGAATAGGAAACTGAAAAAATAGTCTCTGACCTCAGCTTTCTTTTATGTATTTAGTATCTCCCGAGTGGGCCAATTTCACTGTTAGCCTGAGCAGGAGGAGAGGGTGAGGGTGCCTTTTAACGGGACGCTGCATCCTTAGGAGGGTTCATCAGATGGCAGCTTCCTATAATTTTTATTTTGTCTATTGAAACAGATTTGGCTTTGTTTCTACCAGTGTCCTTTGAGCACTGCTGGTTGCAGATGGGCAGCTTGCACAGTGTTACTGGTCAGAGCAATCCCAGGTGGATGGCAGCCATAAAGGAAAGACGCTTTGGTATCGCTAGCGCTAAGTGGATTATAGGTGAACCTAGACACAAAACACGGGAAATGTGGGATGCGGCAGGGCTCGGGCACCTGGCTGTGCCCACTGACCAAAGAGCATTTTCTCTGTAGGCAGCAGTCACCAGACAGTACTACGGCTGGCTCTGCGGGTGGCCACGGGTGCGCTCCGATGGGCGAGAAGTGTCACAGTTAGAAATAGGCTTTCCTTGCGAGCTCCTGGGCTGAGGATGAAATGAAATGTTCCCTGCCCTCGTGCACGTGGCACAAAGCAGACGGGACTCTGCTGGCCTCTTTCCAAACCTGCCAGATTTGGTGGGTATGGTAGGAGGGACGTGTGTGCCCAGCCGTAACCGAGGTGGGAGGTGTCTTCGCAGGCTTTGATCCTGCCTGAGAAAGCTCAGCCATCAAGCAGGGTGGGATGTCTCGCTTGCTAGCTCAGCAGGCAAAACGGGCCATATTTATTTTTAGGCGTGCTCAATGTTTGAGCTGAGCATGGTTTTTGTTTTCCACGGCTTATTTTGTCTTTCAGAAAGCTCCAGGGAGCTGCAGAGTTTGTCAGTGGGCCGGGCTGGGCTCTCAGTGGTGCGGTGCAGGAGCAGAGGACAGGGCTGAGTACGTTCCTCCTGGGACTGCTCGGGGTTTAGTTGGGCTCTTAAATATCAATATCATGGCATGTGGCGTTAGGCAGCTAGATGCGATGCTGGCAAAGCACTCGTAGCCTCAATACCATTTTTCTGGCAAAGTTTCTCCTATGTGATAAACATCCCTGCAAAACCGTAGCAGGAGAAGCCCATCATGAAGTAGCTGAGCCCATCCAGAGCCCGGCCGGGGGTCAGGCTGCTGAGACCTTTGCTGGCACACGTGTTGGTGCTGGCACCACCCGTACATCACTGCAAGTGATGCTGGAGGAGTTTCTTCTGCCAAACTGGGGCTTGGCTTAAAGCTGTGTTTGGGTGGAAGTGACTTCTACTGGTGCACAGACGTGTGCACCGTAACCCAGGTGAAACTTGTGTGAAATCGTGTGTAAATGTCGGAGAATCCTTCCACTGCCTTAGGAACCTCACTGCAAGAGCAGCTTTTAGGTGTCCTTCAGGAGAGGAGAACCAGACAGTGAAACAGAAGAGTTTACACATCACTTTCAAAAAGAAGTCGCTGAGTGCAAAGGTTGTACGTAAACCTGGACCTGCAAAAACTCCGTGCGTGTGTGTAAACTCGGAGCACGCAGGGAAGCCTGCTTGCCAGTCTGGACAACTGAATGTTTTTGGGAGCTGCTATCAGAAAGGTGTTTTGTTTGTTTGTTTGTTGTCTTGTTCATTTTTCTTCCCTGTATCAGCTGGCTTTGTCTGTGATGGGTTAGTAATACTTGAAGTATGCAGAAGCCAGGTATAGGTGGGAGTGTGATATTATCCAGAATTTTATGGTGTAGTTTATTGACTTTGGGGGAACTGCACTGACAAAGGCATTTTTCTCCACGGAGAAGTCTCCATCTGGTTCAGGAACCTTCCTGGAACATTTGTTTCTCGTATAACCTCTGTGGGAAGTAAAATAAATGTAAAATGATAGCGCTGTCCTGTCTCTTCAGGTGAGAGAGCTGATTACCCCACGCTGAATTTTCCTTAGGGCCTCTGCAGCGGCTTCTTTGTCTTCCCCCTGATTTGTAGGTTTGGGGGAGGAGAAGCGAGGCTTGGGAGGCTTGGGAGCTGCTGGCAGTGGGTTTGTGGTGTGCGGGGAGGAGGATCTGCGTGGGGCTGCCCCAGGACCTGGGGCAGAGGGTGACTTAAAACCTGCTGCTTTGGGGATCCATTTTCACAGCTTTTGTGAGAGCATTTTCCATTTAACTCAGCGCAGATGTGAATGATAAAATATAAATCGAAGATTAATGTACAGCATCTTGGCGTGTGAAAGGTTCAATTATAGGCAGAGCAAGCAGAATAATGGAAAATACGTTTGAGTGATTGTTCAGTTAATATCATTTGCAATGAATTATTCACAACAATTTGTTCACCCCCACTCTTATTGTAATAATTTTCGTTCCTTCATTTGCTCTGCGTTTGGAACTGCTTCCCACAACTTGTAATGAAGTATATCCACGCACCCAGCCCCTTCTCCCCACCTCCCCCCGCCTACACGCCACGAAGGACAGATTTGAAAGAGCTCAGCATCGCAGGCACTGAGCTCTCTTTAAGAAGTTAATCAGAAGTGTCAGAGTGGAGTTAATCAGAAGTGCTGAAGTGGAGGCTGCTGCCTGCTGATCGCTCAGATGTGACCCATAAAAGCCCATTTTGCAGGCTGCAGTCACCTCGACCCTTTAAGCTGGCAGCGATTTGGCTGCTAACCCCTGCAGCCCTTCCTGCTGCGCTGCCTGAGTTCAGCAGTGTCCCTGCGAGCGGTGTGCTGAGGCTTTACCAGCAGAAGGCAATCGGCTGCTCTTGGCGATCGCTCTGCATCCCTGGAGCGTATCCTTCCTGCCTGTATGGCCTCGCTGGTGCTGTGGTGGGAGGAGGAGGAGTTGAGCTTCCCAGCCAGGCGTGTGGCACCAGCAGCCTCGAAGAGAAGCGCTTTGCTCGCTCAGGTCCCTGCCTCTCGCACTGTGCTGCAGACAGTGGAGGGGATCGGGGGCAGCGCTGGAAGTGGTGGGTTGTCTTCCAGCACTGCAAAGCTCCACAGCTGGGCTCCCCTTTATTCAGGCACTGGAAAACCCACAAATGCACATTGCTTCTACAGCCGGGTCTGTTCTCACCAGTCACACGGGAGGGATGTTTTTAAGCCAGGTTGCTGTAGGGTGGTTGGCAGGGGGACGAAGATGTCCACGTCCTCCCTCAGTGTCCCTCTTCACCCTTCCTGGAGCACAGGCAGTGGGCGAGCACTCAATGTGACGTCCCTCTGGCTTTGCAGGAAGGAGCCAGGACTCGCTGCTGCCCAGCTTTGTGCTCCCACTGCTGCGCCTCTCGATGCCAACTTGACTTTAGGGCGAGTTGGCAAGGAGTCTGGCCTCTTACCCGAGCAGTGTCCTCATGAATTCGTTGGCACCCTATCCATGACGGGCTTTATTACCTTGTGGGTCTTTTTTTGGTGTCTCGTGACCATCAGTCTCTGGTGTGTCGGGGTGTAGAGGGAAATGTTTTGCAGGCAGTGGTGAGCAGGTCCCACGGGCAGGTGGGAGCCATGGTGTACAGCCAAGACGAGGGCTGCTGCAGGGGTCAGTGGAGAATTCAAAGCTGCTTTAGGGTAAGACAAATCCTTGTCTGATTCTTAACCCTTTAAGGACTCCCACGAGCTCTGCCAAGCCGTGACCACAAAGCCTTCAGCACAAAACCCCAAACACCCTAACGAGCCAGGATTTATGCTTTTGCATCTTCCCCATGGAGGGACAGCACTCGCAAGGTCGATCCGCCAGCATCTACTTGTCCAAATCTCCATAATCAGGCGAAACGTGATTATGGAGCTGCTTGTCGTTAGGACACAATGGCTCTTAAATGGCCCAGATTGAATTAAAGCCTTAATGGCAGAGCATCCAGAATAAATAACAGGCCAGCAGATCCGCTGGGGGTGACGTGCCTCTCAGCCAGCCCCGATGAGCAGAGCAGAGCTCTGGCCGGGCAGCAGGAGCGCAGTGGTTGTGGTGGGCGTGCTGCCCGGAGGGAGCTCAGCGCCTCGATGCAGGCACGCAGGCGAGTGCCGGGGGAGCTGGAGGAGCTGCAGGCTTCCTGCGCTGGCCTCCGAGCTGGAAACAAACCGGCATGCCTTGGACTCGCCGTGGTGAGGGGGTTTTGCCGTGGTGTGGGGCGAGTTTTGTTCTTCGCTGTCTTTCCCTTTTTTGTACTGGTTTACCCTGCAGGTGTCAATGCCTGCAGGTTGTTTCCAGCTGAGGGAAACGCCAGCGTTTGGTGAAACGGTGCCGTGATGGAAGTGCCTTACTCCTCTTTTGTCCACATTTGCCTCCCTTTTTGCTGACATGAGGCCGGTGGTGTCCAAACAAAATCCCACTTCGCTTCCAGTTTGACTTACAAGTGTGCTTTCCACCTCTCTTGAACAAAGCTTCGTAAATCAGCATCAGTGTGCTCCTGGCCCTGTTTTCCAGCGAGGAAGTCCCCCAGGCCCCACGCTGGCTGCCAGGAGCTGCCCTGCTCCCAGTTTCCCCCAGTTGTACTGGGAGGGAGCTCCCTCTGCCCACGGTGGGCATCAGCACCACGGGTGCTTTGGGAGCGGCCGGCTCTGCAGCCGTTCCTGACTGCCAGCTCTGACGTTTATTGCCTGTTTAGCTTCGTTACTGCTCCTTGTTTTGCAGCTCTGGTTTCGCTCAGTGGTTGTATCCTTGCCAACAGATCAGGTGGGGCTGGAACATGTTGCTGCGCTGGCCCCAAGGAAATGACTGCGAACCTCTGGCTTATGCCTGCGCTGGCAGCGACAGCTGGGGTGGGAAAAGCATTAGGTAGGAAAACATCTACAGAAAAAGCAGGGAAGGAGAAAGCAAGCACCAGCAGACAGGTATGGATCACCGAGACCTGTCAGTGAATTTGATTTCATTGGATTGCAAGTTCCTGCTATTGCTATTCGGTTGCTCCCTCTGCCAGCCTTATTGCTATTACCCATGGAAGAGCTGCACCCCAGAGCAAACTTCATCTTTTACCTGGAGGCTTTTCATCTGTTCCCCAAATTTGCATTTTAATGGAATAAAACCTATCCGTTCCCCCTCAAAGCAGCAATTTAAAAGTTAAGCCTCTGGAAAGCTTTCCTCAAACACCCACCCATCCATGTGAAGTGTCCAAAGCAACCCTGGTGTGTTTTAGATGTTCCATGAATGTACTGGGCTTCCAGTACCACGCTGATAACTTCTTGAGGCAAGACCTCATCTTCCCAGAGTGAGATCTCAGAGGTTGGACTGGGTGATCTTAGAGGTCTCTTCCAACCTAGATGGTTCTGTGACTCTGTGATGTCTCCTATGGCTGTAGCTCAGGACCCAAAAGTCACCGATCGCCTCGGAGCTCTCCTGGGCTGCAGCGTGCAGAGGTCGCTCCCGGTTGTCATTAAGCAAAAGAAGAAAACATAAATTGCTCCAGCACTGCCGTGTGGAAATGATGGCTGTCATAAAGCCTCCTTTGGAAGGAGGCAGGGGGGAGAGCTGTGTGCTGCTGCTCCCTGCTGGATAAAGCCAGCAGGGCTGCTCCGCTGCCACCGCTGCCTGGGGTTGTGCACAGGAGGTGCCCGCTCTGACCGCCCTCTCCTCTCTTCCTTGCAGTGTGCTACCTGCTGAAGAGCAACATCAGCCCCGACCTGTGCAATGAAGACGGACTGACCGCACTGCATCAGGTGAGGCACAGCACGGGGAACGCTCCCTGCCTCATTTCCTCGCTCAGATAAAACAGGGAAGCTTTGCCACATTGTGCTGGGAGCGAGCCGAGATAAAACCCATCTCGTGCTGCACACAAGGCTTTGTTCCGTGGTGGTAAGGGCTCAGGAATTGGGGCTGGGTTTCAGGCACCAACACCGACATTGCTCACACTATAATCTTTATGGGGCTGGGCGGTAAACTCTTCAAGCTGGTTAATTCACTCTGAGACTATGGCGACCTTACAAGGTTTGGAAGGGGCTTAGATAAATGATGCCCAAGGTGTCTGAAGAGCTCTCCGCAGGCTGTGTGACTTCATGGTCGGTGTGAGGGGCAGCAGCAGATCTGTAGGAAAACACAGGGCTGCTGTCCTGGGGTGCCAGCCTGTGTCCTTCCTCAGAGCCTCCGTGCTGCCAGGGTTTTTTGTTCTTCCCACGGCCCCGTCCCCACCCCACCTCGTGAGCCCAGATGCTCGGTGCCAAAGCCTCAGGACAGTCCCCGTGGCAGTCCCGTGGGGCTCCCCGTGCCTGGCAGCCACCGCCTCCGCCAAAAACAACAGTGTAGTTGTGGAGCTCGCTCCGAGGGTGGAACGGGGACACGCGGCTTTCTCTCCATTTGTCCCCACTGTAAATGCTCCCATTGACTTGGCATTTTGGATTCCTCTGCGAGTCGCTTTCTGTCTTCAAAGCTGGGTGGATGCTTGCTTGAAAAGGCAAAGCGGCTCCTAGAAGAGCAAAAGCTCCTGCCACCTCCTCTCCAAAGCGATGCTGTTCTGCACACAGAAACGCAGGCAGCTGGTGCTGCTGGCAGCCTCTGCGCTTCCACCGCCAGCTGCTGGAGCTGTGAAAGGCTTTGCCCACTAAAGGATCAGTTTTTGTAAAGGTGCATTTGGGGGCTGAGGTGGAAGCTTTGACTTCACGAGAATTAATTGTATCCCTGAACAGAGAGGAGCTGCCAGACGGACACAAATGCCCATTGGCAGTGGCTTCCCGTGAAGGATGCGGCTTATGCTTCTGGGATAACTTGGCGGTCTGACAGGCATGATTTTAGCCTCACTTCCACATATAAATAGTAAACAGAAATAGAAATACACAAAGGGTCCTTGTCGCTTGGCTGCCGAGATGCTTGCTGTGGGTGTGCTCCGGCCCCTGTACAAGCCTCCACTGCAGCACTGGGCCACGAGGCTCCAGCGTGGGCAGACCACAAACGGGCTTTCTGCACAAGGACCAATCT